TATTTTTCCAGGATTACTGTAAATAAAGAAGAACTCCCAAGAGAGCTGTCTCATCAGCTTTTATTCTCACTCTTGCCAAAGACAGGTGAGATAAATCCTTCCTTTTTAATCCTTAACTCCCAAGAGTGGACTGTTAATTCTCCCCTCTGGCTACTACACATTTTTTTTGTAAATAAGTTACAAGAATTTGGCTTCAGATCAAGATTACAACTTCTAACTGATAAATATGAGTGTTCTGATTACCTGTTTGCTGGATAATGTACAGATATTATTATTAGATAGAGAATAAGTGCCCTAAATTAATTTAACTTCAGAGAAGGTAACAGAAAAAAATGCATGTAAGTGCAAGTTAGGCACTCTTGCAACACACCACAATACAAAACATAAAAGCAACTTGAGAACTTGCTTTGGCAGCTAATTGTGGTGCTCGTTGCCAAATACAATGCAGGAATATCGAAATATACCACATCTGAGGGACAAGTTGGTAGAACTCAGTGCAATCACTTACAGCATGACCTAGTCCCTTTGATAAAGTGCTTATTCAATCATCTGCCATAAAAGCATACTTACCTCTTGTAGCCTGGACATCACAGGAAGCCTTCGCAGTACCTTTAATTTTGAGCCCTCAAACTAAGACACAACCATAATCTGCTGAAAAAAGCAAACGAAAATGTTTCAAAATACATGTAAGCAATCGTCGTAATAGCATACATTGTGTGTACAAGTGAAATGCAAGTACTGCACACTCGATTTACAATACGGCGTTTAGATAAACCGAATGGATGGCACGCACAAGTCAGCTAGAAGGTAGTCATGGTTATTACATCAAAATTTGGGTAAAATTTCTGCACAGTCCCATACTATTGTAAAACAAATTTGTTTTCCCAATGGCAATGTATTGTTTTTGTTTTCTCTATTCAAGAACTGAATGCATAATGTAGTATGGGGCTGTGAGGAAATTTTACCAAAATTTGTTGTTGCTCTGGAGTTAGAAGACTAACCCATCGAGGTAAATTTCCGCACAGCCCCATACTACATTATGCATTCAGTTCTTGAATAGAGAAAACAAAAACAATACATTGCCATTGGGAAAACAGATTTGTTTTACAGTAGTGTGGGGCTATGCGGAAATGTTACCGCTACTACGGGTAAATGATTCTCGAATTCCTTCCTTCCTTTATGATCGTCGAATTCCTCTCTAATTCAAAGCGTATTTCAAAATCAATCGGCATCACGAAAAAACTGATTACGATTTATGTTGCTACCTTTGATTAAGACATCGGAAACGTATAATAATCAGTGTCGTAACTACATCATAACTTCATTTCAGTAGGCACGCTACATTCCGCAATACAGCTTACCTTCGATTTGAAAACGTGAAAAGGACGTTCCGGTCACAAATGGAACAACCGTTATGGACATAAGGAGACTACAAAATGGTTGTACCTGAAAAACACTTTTTATCCCATTTTTGAGCAGAAATTTGACAT